CACTCGGGGTCTGGTCACCCAGGGCCGACCCACTCGGGGTCTGGTCACCCAGGGCCGACCCACTCGGGGTCTGGTCACCCAGGGTCGGGGTTGCTAAGTTCTAGCGTAGGGACAGCGTTCGATTCACTGTCTCCTTTCTCTCGAGCGGGTGACACTGGAGTACTCCAGGACTCAATGTCAGTTCTGCAGGGTGTGGAGTTAGACTCGAGACCATTCCAGCAGTATTATGTTGCGGAGCTCCCCTGCGACATGGCGAAGCCTGGGAGTGCATCGCAACACACAGGTATGCCCCCGCCACACTGCGGTTCGGAACATATAGGTACGTGGCAACCGCAGTCAATGACGACGTCTCAATCGACGGCGAGTTTGCAATCGACGGTGACCCTGAAGTCGCTCCCGGCCTCTCAGGCGACAACGACCGGGCTAGCCATGACGACCGGGCAAGTCACAATCAACGGGCAGGCAACGACGACCTCGCAGCACAATGCCCAAGAGGGGTATTTGTCAGGTATGGAGTCGGCAATCACGCAGTCGGCAAGTACGCAGTCGGCAGACCCACCGGCCCCCGCCCCCGGACTTGTCATGCAGACCCCGTCCCCCTCACAGAGGGAAGCAATGGGGGTTGACAAGTTGGCCGTGACCTGTCCCCCGCAGTTGCAGCGGTCGGGCGAGACGGAGCAACAAACCGCGGTGCAGGAACAGAAGCCGGCGCAAAACGTGACGGTGCAAAGTACGGTGCTGGAGGAGAATGGGGCGTTGAAGAATGCGGCGGTGGGGAATGAGAGCATGACGGACCAGGCCAAGTTCGGTCCGATGGCTCGTGGGAACAAGCGGGAGGTGCTTCGGAGTTTGTCACCGGATCTCGATCTGGCCTTGCTGGTTCGGTTAGAGCCTGAGATCTACGTGGCGCTACAGTGCGATTCGCACGACTCCAAGCTACTCCTGCGGCGCCGGTCCGATGCCTTTGTCCAAGCCCATGGACTCAACCCCGTGGTGGCCAGTGGCTTGGTGAAAAAGTGTCTGATTATGATGCGGAAAAAAGACACTCTCTCGGAAAAGAAAATGCTCGGTACCGTCCGACTCAAGTCTACAGCACTGCTCCAGTACTGCGTCGTAGACATCATATCCCTTTTTTAACTTTACCACCTCCCTTGTACAATGAGAGGATCAGCACTATCCACAGCCGCGAGACCGGGCTGTCGCAATAGGGTCGGCGGAGATCTGAGAATCTTTTTGTTTGTGGTCGGAGCAAGATCTCTGTGGTCGAGCTTGGAAGAAGAGGTGGAAGCAGATTGTTGGTCGGCCGGGCGGGAAAAAAAGCGCCTCCGTGTGTGCGCCGGCGGCAGCTGGTGACTTCGGAAATTAAGCATAGTTGGTGACTTCAGGGGTGGGCTCTTTAGGTTTGCCAATGCCGGAAAGCACGTCGTCTACGCGGATGAGCATGGCGGCGCATTCGATGGCAGTTTTGATCATTTGTGTTTTCACTCTATAGGTATCCCAGATACCTTTGGCGGTGACGTCGACGATTTCACCAGTGACTCCGTCTATGCCGCTGGTATCGGGGGCGGCTCTGAGTTTGGCGATGGTGGTGACGACATCGACGCCAGCGTTTTGAGCGAGGATGCGGGGGATGACGTCGAAGGCTTCGGCGACAGCGCGCATACCCCATTGTTCGAGGCCGCCAAGTCGTTTGGCGGCTTCGTGTAGTCGTTTAGCACAGATCATGTCGCAAGCGCCGCCACCGGGAAGCAGTTTGCCTTCGAGGAAGATGTTACGCGCAACAGCGAGAGCGTCATGCAAGTTCCGTTCGATTTCGTTCAGCGAGTCTTTGCTGCCGCCACGGAGCAGAATAGTGCAGGCGCGCGGCTCCGCACAGTCAGTCAAGAAGGTCCAGTAGTCATCATCGATTTTCTTGACCTCAAACAGCCCGCATTTCGTACCCACATCCCGCTCCGTTAGTTCTTCGCAACGATTTACGATCGTGGCTCCAGTTACTCTAGCCAAACGATTCTGGTCCGTCTTTTTGGCTCTGCGCACCACAGAGATGTTCTGCTTCATCAAAAAGTGTGCGGCTAAATCCGACACACCCTTTTCAGTTATCACCAAATTACAACCCGTGGCCGCAATGCAATCGCACATCTTCCGCACTTCTTCCTCTTCCTGTAGCAACAGTTTCTCGAACTCTTCTTCTTGTGTTATTTCCACATTCGTCATGGACTCGCCCTTTTTATATTCAAGTGGACAATCGAGCAACACAATTTTCGGATCTTGGATGCGCCGTTTCATCCTTGCATGTGTCACATCCTTCTCAATCGCTATACCCTTGACCAACTGGCAGTCCTCTATTGAGCCGCCCGGCACCTTTTCGATGCGCGCATATCGCTTCGTGTCCACTTCACGCTTACCATTGGGGAGAGTCTCCTGAACGATCTGCGCCGCTTCCAATGCTAGCCCAGTGATCTTGGCGCCCCATTGCGCACTAAACTTGGTCCCCATGCACGAACCCACTACCTCCCGCAACTTGGTTGCGTCCTCCAGGTCAATATCCGTCGCAATCTCTTCTAGCACCTTGAGGGCCTCCGTCAATGCCGCAAAGTATCCTTTTACCACCAATGTCGGGTGGATCTGCATCCCCAACAGCTTCTCACTACGCGCCAAAATCTCGCCAGTCAAAATCACCACCGACGTCGTACCGTCACCCACCTCCTCGTCCTGCGCCCGCGACAATTCAATCAAAGACTTGGCCGCTGGGTGAGTCACGTCGATCTCACGCAAAATCGCGTTACCGTCATTCGTTATCACCACTCCACCCAACGGGTCCAACAACAACTTCAACATCGACTTCGGCCCCAATGTCGACCGGACCACCGAAGACACCGCTGCCGCCGCCTACAACACAATATCTGTGTTTAGCGTACGTGTGTCTAGCTTCGAGCACACGTGTGTGCGCACGTGTTTTGCTTCGAGCACCCCTTGTGTACATTTCTGTGACCGGACTTACCTGTATGTTGGCTATTTGCGTTTGCCTTCCGTGCTCCCTTTGGACATTCTGCTGCAGGACGAACACGGGCTGACCACCGCCGAACATGGTTTGTAAAATTTAAAAAAGCTTCGCGGGAGTCCGTCGGGAAGGGGTTCTATCGAACCGGTTGGTAATAACACGTGCGTCCTTGGTTTCCTTGTGAGGACTAAACTCGAGCAGATCGCTGGGACGGTGACCGCTACCACTGCGACCAGAGCAATAGGTGCGCACGCCGTCACAAATACGGGCCCACACGATGGGATTGTCTCTGCGGCAATAAACCATAATACAGCGACGCTCCCATTCGAGGGGGTATTTGCGCCATTCCGCCTCCGGTAATGAGCAATAAATGTCCCGACTGTTGTGGTAAAATGACACAGACTTCCATGGGTTACCCAACGGTGCCCCATGGTGGGTCTTCACTCTGTATAGAACAATATCCTCCAGCTCCACGCCGCTGCAACAAGCCACTATATCTTCCTCCGTAATTACCGATAAATCCACTGCATTACTCTTGGGCGAAATCACCCCCGTGTATGTATACAACTGCCGCCGCTCGATCCGCTCTATCAGCTGACCGGCCTCCAAATAACACCCATAATGCACCTCCGACAACTCGACGGCTCGAGCGTTCAACCGCCTCAAACAATTAAACCACTGCACGGAAGATATCAACTACTGCCGCCGTCTAAGGGGAATGGGGGGG